CAATCAAAGGCTGAAAGAAAGGAAACTCGTTAGTTTCACTCCAAAACACAGGGCTTTAGGTTTACGGAACTCTCAGCACACACAAAGCACCTTTCTCAGATTCTAAAAACTCTGGGCTTTGACATCACCCCACCCCCACCCCGCCTTTAACTCAGAGGCAAGAAAGACACGTTGCCCTGACGTCTCCCAGACACCCTTCCCGTTTCTGAATCACAGCAGAACACACAGCACCTGCTAAAGCCGGAGGCAGAAAGGAGAGGGCGGTGGGGCATGCCTGCGATCACAGCGACTAGGGAGGCTGAGGCAGGAGGATCGCAAGTTCAAGGCCAGCCTCTGCAACTCAGTGAGGCCCTAAGTGACTTAATGAGTCTCAAAATAAATAAATAAATAGACAAAATTATAAAGGGCTGGGGACGTGACTTACTGGGAAAGCACCCTGTAGTAAAAGAAAAGAAAAGAGAGAGTGTGTCTCATGCCCCAAGAGGGGGCTGCCTGTCTGGGGGGTGAGTAAGGAGAGGGTGAAGCCAGGAGGGGCAAGGCAGTCGTAAGGGGCCTGGCGAACCCCCTTTAAGTTATTAAAAGTGCGGAGAAGGTCATCCGAGCGGCAGGCCCAGGGCAGGACGGGAGGACATTTGGCCTTTAGATTAGAAGCAGGAAAGTCTCCTTTACCCTACACTCCGGGCTGCTGAGGCCACGTTGGGCCGTCACCCGTGGTTACTGTAGCTGCTTGTCAGGGACTGAGCGAGCCAGGGACACAAAGAAGACCCTGGTGGCAGAGCGTGGGCCGGGGAAGCCCGCGTCGCCTGGGAGCACGGCTGGGCCCACGCCTGGTCTCAGACCTGGAGCCTCCAGAACCGAGGGACAGTCCGCCCGCTGTGACTTTGTGACGGCAGCTCTCACCCATGAATGCCGCGGCCAAGTGGCATGTGCTAAGCCAGAGGGCCACTGGCAGGCTCTCTGACTTTCTCAGCACTAGAAGCCAGCTCTGTGTCCACATCACGTTCTCGGTGTCACAGAGACTTAATGGACCCGCTGCTGCGTCACGTCGACGTGTTAGGAAAGGCCCTGCGTGATTACCCACCATCTTCTTAAATACCTGAGAACCCTTTCAGACTCCAGGCTTCCCCATAGCCCTCCGCACTGTGGGTGATGCATTTAAGGACTTGTTCTGAGAAGGGGTCTCTGGTAGGGCCGAGGGGGGTCCAGAGCCCCAAACAGGTTAAGAACCCCTTCTTCAAGCAAATAGGATAACCTTGTGTCCCCTCAGGTCACATCCCTTGCCCCACCTTGGATTCAGGATGGGAGGAGGGTGTCCTGAGAGGGTCTTTCTCCAGTTAGAAGTCATTATGGAACTCACGGGGTTGTGCAAATCTGTCACCATGTATGACAAGCCAAGCACAGAGACCTGCCGGTCCTGCCCACCTCCCACGCTCAACCCTGGGCTCCCAGGGTCAGTCCCAGCCTCGCTGAGCACCTCCCTGGCCCCCAACAAGCGGATGCTCAGATAAAGAGAGTGATCGTCCACGAGGCCCCCGGGGAGGTAGGGAACCGCCGGGGATCTAAACTGTCCTCCCTCGAGGCTGCCGGGTCTCGCTTTCCTTCCGAGGATAAGAGCAGAGGGAACCAGACCTCTGCTGGCTTTGTGTCACCCTTCACCTTTGTCAGACACCCCGAGAAGCCCCGGGGCCTGCTGCAGGCTCTGTCTGTCAACCAGTGAGTTTTTCTAAATTACAGCAGAGTAACGAAGCCGAGATGGCCAACTTTGCACAAAGCTGGCCAACAGCATGTCACAGGGCAAGGAGAAGACCTTTGAAGGGGACCCTGGTGACAGGAACCACCTGAGATAACCCCCACAGCAGCAGGCGGGGCTGGTCCTGGGAGACCGTCACAAACCTCTTTGGCTCTCCAGGCCCCTTCTCACACAGACGCTGCCTCGCCACGTCTCAGGGCCCTGGGGACACGGAAGGTGATGCTCAGGCAGACGACACCGTGAGTCACCTGTCCCTTCAGGTGCCAAATCCTTCCACACCGCAGCCTCCCCCCCCCCACCACAACCCCGACTCCCAGCTGCTTCCGACACATCACGGGGTGTCCAGAGGGGCGGCTGCAAATAGCCCAGGCTCCCAAGCCCCAAGGGACTCAGCACCTGCTTTCAGAGGACTAATGGGGACTCAGGAGGGGCTTGGGCGGCTGGGGACCTTAATTCTCAGCTGCAGAGAGGGCAGGAGGAGCCCTGCTGGAAACTGCCACCTAATGTCACTGGATCCCTGGGTGCACGGTCACCAGAGTGCACATGGCCTGAGACAGAACATCCACACGTGGCCCATCTGTCCACAAACAAGTGGCCTCTCTGGGGAGCATCTTGTTTTCTATTTTCCTGATTTCTTGATGGTGTCACTTGGCCCAGCATGCGCACGCGCACACACACACTCGACACCATCAGTCCCCACTGGGGGGGACTTCGGCATCCACTGAAGCACAACAGGGCTGTCCAGGACCTGAGGCAAGTGGGGAGCCTGGCTGACCCTGCCACTGGTCCCTTATCTCTTCCAGCCAGCGGTTGCCGTAGCAAAACGTGTCAGCAAAGTGGTAAAGAAAACGGGAACCGGATGTCGAAGCCCTCTTGTGCCGTGGCCCACCAGGTCACAGAGATAAAGGACAGGAGAATGTGGCCCTGGCCACAGGAGAGGGCAGCACTTCTATTCCAGCCAGGGACTCTAGGTCTGGGGGTAAATTTCGGGGCCCATTTCCAGCCTTTGGGATCCTGGAAATTTGTTTCTCTGCACTATCCAAACAGAACTTCCGGGCACTATTTTTTGGGCTGAATTGTGTCCTTCGCCCAAATGCATGGGTTCAAGTCCTCACCCGGCATCTCAGAATACTGCATTTGAGATGGAGTCTTTGCAGAGGCAATTAGTTGAAAGGAGCGTAGGCCCCAATGTAATGTCACCAGCGTCCTTAGAAGAAGAGCTCACCCCTGGGCAAGCCAAAGGGAGAGGCCTAAGGAACCGGTGGACACCTGAATCTCAGCCCTCCAATGCTGCGAACAGGAAAAGAAATTACTGTTGTCTCCGCCACCCTTGGTCGGTGGGAATTTGCTAGGAAATGGTAGGAAGCTCCCACAGGACCCCACAACTAAGAAACCAAACACGTGTCTGCTTGGTGGCACTGTCATCCAAAGGCCAGAGGGGCTCCCTCCCCTGCTGGGGAGCCTCCAGTCACTTTGCCATTTCTCAGCCTCAGTCTCTGGGGGGAAAGTCCCCAACTTCCCCACGTGAGCTTCAGCTTTGAGGTTGAGCGGGAGACCCCAGGGGTGTGACCATCCTGCCTGGGCCTCGTCCCTTTCTGCCCTGGGTTTTCCTGGTCTGGCAACGAAACGCCAGGAAGGACAGTTGGGATGACAGACGCTCCCTGGGGGAGGTGCCCTAGAAAATGGTTTTTGCAAACCCTAACTCTTTGCCCAAACCATCCATCAGCCACAATTATTAATAGAAAATCTCCCCCAAGTTATTTTCTATCACAAAGGGCCACCATTCCGGGTTCCCCTGATGGCCCGAGATGGCTTCATGGGCCGTGGCGTCTGCAGCTCAGCGAGCAGGAGAGGAAGAGCCAACAGAAGAGCCTCCCCCCTCCTTTTAAAGAAACCCCCGAGAGTTGCCCCCCCCTCTCCTTTTGTCCCCCCCCCCCCCCCCGCCCACGCTCAGCTACACGGCCAACCTGCAGCCGAGAGGCCCGGGAAGTGCCGTCTCCATTCTCGGCAGCCATCTGCTCCAGTCTGGAAGGAAACTCACTTTGCTCTGAAGACAGGAAAAGGGGGTGGGGGGGCAGGAGGGAAGCGCTAGGCTCTCGTTCAGCATCCTCAGGTATCCATGGCAACCCCCCCCACACACACACTGACCCAGCGTGCACGTGACAGCTGCAGGAAGCACCCACCTTCCATTCCAAGACCTCTGGGACCCAGCCGGGTGGGATGACCCCAGCCGTCCGGTGGGAAGGCTTCCCTCAAAGCCTCCCTGCCTCCTTGAATCCCCTCTCGCCCCCTTTTTCTCTTACACCACGTTACTTCCAGCTTGGGAAGCAGGATGTCCAAGGAGATCAGTCACCTCCGTCCTGGGTTGCAATCTCCCCTCAGCCACTTACCAGCTGTGTGGCCTCGAAGCATGTCACCGGCCTCAAAGCGTGTCACCTGGTCTTCTCATCTGTAGAACTGGGATTCTAAAGCCTCGGGGGATCGTGTTAGGCACTAAAGGACTCCCCGTGAATCTCCAGGAGTGGGAGTTACCATGTCTCCTCACCTCTCTTTGTCACTGAGGTCCTAGTGTCTTGCCTTCCGTATCGTCACTCCATAGTCACTCAATAAGGGCAGTTTATTAAAAGAGCCTCCATCTCGGAGCTGAGCCACACGGTTTTCAGAGAATCGATATGTTAAGCCACCCAGCCTAAGCAGGCAGGCTACAGATAAAATCAGAGTCAAAGACTGTCCCAGGTAGAAGGGACCTCCGGATACCTTGTCATTTTTCTGTTTGTGGCTCTTATCGTTACTGCTAAGGACATCAGCAATAGCTACCATTTGTCAAATGCCTCTGGGCCAGGCACCGTGCTCTGCGACCCCCCCACCACCCACTGGGAGGTCCCTCGAGGTCAGTTTTCTCTCTCTTCTTCCACAGGTGTGGAAACTGCCAAAAGCCCCCCAGCACCATCCTGGCTGTCAGATCCAACTCTGAAATAGGACTGATTTGTTCATTTGTACCTTTTTATATTTTTTAATATGAAAAACCTCCCCAAAGCCATCAAAATTTAAAAAAAAAAATGACCCCCCCTCTTCACGCCACTTTCTTGTTTTGAAGTCTGTAAGGAAATAAGTGAAAACTACCCGGGGCCCTGCCAACCTGCCTCCCCAGGGATTGTCCCCCGTTAGCTGATTGGTTTTCCTGCTTATGCAGATTAACAGTCTTTAAGTTGTCGTTTTCTGGGTCTTTCAAACAAGCCCTTTCCAACAGGAGGCGCTCAACCCGCTACGTGTAAACCTTCAGAGAGAAACGGTGTCCACTCTCCACTCTGGCCCCTGTGAGTACCTGCCTTCATTCACTTCTTTCTTCATTCAACAAAGAGCAACCAGGCCCCTCAGCCTTGCCAAGAACCAGGTCGGTGTTTGGAACCCCCCAAATGAATCCGATTCACCTCCTTTCCTGGAGGATCACCAGCCCAGGGGGGAACCCAACTCTCTTTTTAACACAAAATGAAAAGAGCCGCTCTCAAGGTGAAGGTCAAAGCTGGGGAGAAGATCCAGGGAAGGAGACGGGTGGGTTCAGAACCAGGGGGTCCATCGACCTCGTAGACAGGAAGACAGACTACGTCAATCAGAGGCCTGCAGGAGAGAGACCAGAGGCCCCTCGTGAGGCTGGGACATCGTGGGAAGGAATGGGAGGCAGTGGGGAAGAGGCCGGAGAAGTCCCTGGGCCTCCGTGGCCATCCTAACAATTTCCGCACATGATTCAGTCAGTTTTTTCACTGCTGTGACCAAAAGACCTGACAAGAACAATATAGAGGGGGGAAGTTATTGGGGGCTCCCAGTTTCAGAGGTCTCGGTCCACAGATGACCAACTCCATTGCTCTGTACCCAAGGTGAGGCAGAACGTCATGGCAGAGGGGACGGTGGAAGGAAGCCCCTCAGGACATGCAACATGCTCACCAGGGACAAAATATATACCCCAAAGGCGCGCCCCACCCCACCAATGACCCTCCTCCTCCAGCCACACCTGCCTACAGTGACCACCCAGCTAAACCGTTCAAGTGCATCAATGCATTGATTAGGTTAAGACTCTCATAACCTGATCATCTGACCTCTGAACTTTCTCGCCTACCTCACACAGGAGTTTGGGGGTGGGGGACACTTCCTATCTAAACCATATAGTGCATCTGACATTCTAATCTGCTGCAAAACCTCTGATTTCAGAGGGAAGATAAACCGTCCACTTGTGGAAACATCCATGAACCAAAGAGATGCCCACATTTGAAAACCCATTATCAGGAATAGCCTTTGGCACTTGAAAAAAAAATGAAATACTGACATGCACCTGCTACAACCTGGGTGAGTCTTGAAAACCTCAGGCTGGGTGAAAAGACATGGGCCAGAAAAGACCCTCTCTTGCTAGCTTCCACTGATATGAGATGTCCCGAATCAGGCAGATCTACAAAGACAGGAAGTAGGTTAGTGGTTGCCCAGGGGCAGGGGTGCTGGGAGGAGATGGGCAATGGCTGCTATTGGACACTGGGGTTTCCTGATGAAAGCAACCTGTGTCCACCCTCCCAATAATCAAGATACAGAGCATTTCTGCCTCCCCAGGAAGTGCCCTGAGCATCTTCCCCACACAACCCCTCCGGGTGTTCTCCATCACTGTGAGTCACATGGGCCAGTTCTAGTTTTACACACTAGAATCATCCTGAACGTTCTATTCCTGTGTAGTATTTTGATTTACCCAAGTGCTGGCACGTGTGGGTACCGTGCTCCTTTGATTGACAGCTCTATTTCCACACGCACCCTGTCCCAGGGTTCCCCTCGCCGTCCTTGGGTGGGGCCAGCCTACCTTCTCTGTTCACAGCCCACGAAGCCCGCCATTCTGGTCACTGATTGGAATTTCCCCAAGAGTCCCCCCCCGGGGAAGTCCAAGGCTGGGGGAGCACTTCCCACTGCCCCGGATGCTGTCGAACAATTTATAATTTCTTGACTCCCTGGTTTTAATCCGATGGTCAGTTCATTGCCACATCACAGGGACTCCTTACAGAGGACCCCCACGGAGGACTCGGAAGGCTGTATTCACATTTCGAGTTCCCGCTGAATATTCAGAGGGACTCCCCTCTAGTCACCCAGCTGTCATTTTACATGATTCCTGTGGCTCTTCAGTCACTGTCTCTCTCTCTCTCTCCCACGACCCTGTAAGTTTCAGAGGGACCATGTCTGTTTTTATTACCACATCATCCTCGATGCCCAGCCTCCTGCCCCAAACCCAGGAGATGACCAGTGTGTAGAGGGGAGGCTGTTTAAGGAGGAAGAGGGAGGGAGGGAGGGAGGGGGAAGCCAGATGGCATCACGTGTTCCTTCCCCGCCGTTCATAAAGTGAAATCTGATGAAACAGAAGGCGAAGGGACAACAGTACAGCATGCCACACTGCTGCGAATTCAACTGTCCCACCGGAAAAAAAAAAAGATACGCTTAAGTCCTAGTCGCTGGTACCTGTCAATATTCTCCGACTTGGAGGTAGGCTCTTTGCACATGTAATCAGGGTAGGATGAGTCGGACTGGTGTCCTCAGAAGAAGAAGAGAGATTCGGAGACGTGGGAGAATTCCCCAGGGTGAGGTGTCTATAAGCCACGGGACACCAAGGGTGGCCAGCAACCACCAGAAACCGGGAAAGACCAAGACCCTCCCCTGGAGCTTCAGAGAGAGCCTGGTCCCATGGGCTCCTTGATTCCGGACTTCCATAAAAATCTGCAGTCTCAGCAACACCCGCCCTGCCCATGACCAGGTGCAGGAATCTACTCCCCCGGAAACGGGCCTGAAGAAGTGACCCTACGTCGTTAAAAGGATCGGGAACTGGAAAACCAGACTCCCATCCTTTCTGCTGTATCTCCCCCCCCCCCCCCCACCACCCCGGCTCCCCCTTAGCTACTGTCAGCCACCAACCCACTCTGCTGTCCAATGAAGTCCCTTGTGTTAGCGACGAACAGAATCCCTCATTAAGCACCAGGTTTGCAGGTGACTGAGTCGGGCTGAGAATCACAGTTCATTTTTGGAAAATAAACTCCAATTAGCAATCTCAGTGGCTTGTTTCATTTCCTGGCTGTACATTTCTGACTGTGCTGCTGTTGCTGCTGCTGCTGCTGCCGCCGCCACCACCATCTCCGGGGACCTCAGACCTGGAGAGGCTGGGGAAGTGTGGGTGCGGGTTCTCCGTTCCTGAGTGACCGAGGGGACTGGGCATTCTGTCGAGGTGCGATCTGAGCATGGAGGATGCATGGCTCATCCCCTGTGCGTCACTCACTAGTGACTCCCTTTACAGACTTGTGAGATCTGGGATGTGGATCCCCATTTACAGAGGGGGAAACTGAGGCTTGGGGAAGTTAAGGGTTTTTCATCTTGGAGAATGTCAACCTTTTCCCCTTTGATGGCCCAAGACAGAAATCCCAGGAACCGTTCTAAATTCTCATCTAATTGCAAGTTCTTTTCCATGGGTCCCAAAGCACGTCTCCAGCCCACCTGATTCCCTCCTCCTCCTCAGTCCTGGTCTGGGGCTAGGTCACGGTCACTCACTGAGCAATGACTGCCTGGCATATCCCAAGCCCGGTTCCCAGTACTGGGGACACACAAAGAAACTAAACAGACAGAACTCCAGCCCTTGGGGAGGGCTGATGCACCCCCCAGCCTCTCCTTCCTCCTCCTCCCACACAAACTCATCTCCACGATGGAGCCAAACGCTTAAATTTTTTAAACTGATATACAACAACATAAAAATTATATATAGGTTGGGGTGTCCTGTGATGTTTCAGTATACATACACGGGGCATCTCGTCCAAATCACTGTCTCCTCCAACATTTATCAGTTCTGATGGAGCGCACATTCAAAGTCCTCTCCTAGCTTCCTGAATATATGGCATATTATTATTACCTATCACCACCCCACAGCCAACTCTTCCAAAATAAGACGTGCTCACTTAATTCCCTTCTATCTATCTATCTATCTATCTATCTATTTTTGATACTGGGGATTGAACCCAGGGGTGCTTAACCGCTAGATCACATCCCCAGCAATACTTACATTTTTATTTTGAGGCAGGGTCTCCCCAAGTTGCTTAGCTCTCACTAAACCACTGAGGCTGGCCTCCAACTTGTGATCCTCCTGCCTTAGCCTCCCAAGTGGCTGGGATTATAGGCAGGCACCCTTGCACCAGGCTTTCCCCTTCTTAGTATTGCTGTGGCATTCCTCCTGTGTTGAGGATCACGGTCCATTCTCCTTAATACCGTTTACAAATCCCTTTCCTGTGCTGGCTCTCAGGGCCCCTCCAGTCCCAACCACTCGCTTCCCCCCCACCCCACCCCCCGCCAGGCCCTTGGTATCTGCTTTCCTTCGTCTGGATGTTCTCAGCTCCGTTTGGAGGCTGAAGCGCGGAGCTCCCGCCAGCCCTCGGGCCCCTCTCTGCCTGGTGGGTGCTCCCCCTCTGCCTCCTGCTCAGCCTCTGCTCTCAGCCCAGCTGGCCCGGACCTCCGCCTGCCCAGGCCACACGGGACGTCCGCCCTCTGCTCCTTACCTGGGCTCCCCGTTTTCCTTGAAGGCAGGGCTGACGCCCCCACTCACGCTCGAACCCCCAGCTCCCCGCATCTGTCACGGCTGTGGAGCGGACGGTGACGGCTGAAGGAGCGGGCAGATCCTTCCCAGGAAGGAGAGGGGGTGACGGAGACAGCGGGCGAGCGCAGGACCCTCTGCGGGTCACTTCGGGGAAATTGCTGGCCTTTATCTTCATCATCCCCAAAGGACAAAGAAGGAGGAAGAGAAGGGAAATCAACCACCTTGCACGACCTCCTGTGTCCACCTCCACCGGGAGGAGGCAGAAGATGGACGCTGGGGACCTCAGGGGCCCTGTGACCCACTGGCTCGTGGCAATGCTGAGCAGACCACGTGCCTCATCCCACCAGGACCGGGGCCTCGCAGGCGGGCAGGCCTGGGTCCAGCCCCAGTGTCCATTCCTAGCGTGTGACACTGAGCACACCTTGAACCTCTGAGTCCCTCTTTTTTTCCCCAAAAAAATGTGGGTGGGGAGATGGGGCCATAGTACCTGCCTCAGCGGGTTGTGGTCACCTGGGCAGCTCTGGTGTGGGACTCGCTCAGCTGGCCACGACAGAGGACCATGACAGACGACCATGACAGGTGACCACAGGAGGGCGGCTCCCAGGTCACACATTTACCATCTCCCAGAGCTAGAGGCTGAGAGTCCAAGGCCAGGGTACCAGCAACTGCGTTCCTGGTGAGACCCCTCTTCCTGGCTGGTGGCAGAGGGCCACCTCCTTCTGTCCCCTTTCTTGGCCTTCGCTCTGCGGCAACGGGAGACACGCTGTGGCTTCTCTCCGCTCAGAAGGGCATCAGCCCCCTGGGATCAGAGCCCCACCCCTATGACGTCATTTAGCCCTAATGACCTTGGTTGGGGCCCTGTCTCCAAATACAGTCACCTTGGGGGTTAGGGCTTCCCCGAGTGAGTGTCGGCAGGACCCAGTTCAGCCCATGACGGCGTCCAAACAGCGTCAACCGTCATGAGGAGCCCCTCCGTGGAAGTCTCTAGAACTGGGACACAGACATAGAAAACTGGGGCCCAGCGTCTCCCTGCTGTCCCCCAATTCAGCCCTCTATCCCCCTCCTGCGTGCACACCGGGGGCTCGCAGCCTGGGCAGCGGGTGCAGTTGCTGCTTCTGGACACGCTGCCCCCCACCCATGCGCGGGCTGCCTTCGTGACCAGATCCTCAGCATCACTGTCCCTATGATGTGCCATCTTGTTCTCTGTGACCTTCCTGAACAACTCCTCTGCTTCCCTTGGACCGAGGCGAGATGCCACCAGGCCTTCACAGCCACCTAAAAGTCACTGTTCCTGCTCCCGGGAGCTGGAGGGGTGACAGAAAGCAAAACACTCTGCCAGCAGCTGGCACAGGGAATGGGGGTGCCCATCAGGATGACTTGGACCCCAGAGATCCAGAGATTTGGTTAAGATTCCTCAAGAGGAAAAAGAAAGGGAGAGAGAGAGAGAGGGCCTTAGGTTAGTACCTATGGTTTTCTTAATACAGTAATGGCTAATGTTCATTGAGCATCTACTAAGTGGCACCTAAGAGCACCAGGAAGATCATTTTGCTCAGTTCTCCCAATGGCTCTGCAGCAGTAGCCCTCAGTGAGGGGAGGCAGGAAGGAGGATGCCTCCCAGGGGGCACTTGGCAATGTCTGGAGATGTCTTTGGTTGTCCCAGTGGTGGGCAAGGGGACATATCCCTGGGATACACTGGTGGAAGCCAGGGAGGTCGCTGAACGGGCTACGCTGCCAGGGTCAGCCTCCCGCAGCGAGAATCACCCAGCCCCAGATGTCAATCACGCCCAGGAAGAGGAGCCTGCTCATGAGGACTCTCCGTCGCTCCTTCCAGCTCCACAGGTATCAGAGGAACTCATCACCTTCAGACCACAGAGTAGGCGGGGTCTCCACCAAGGAGGATAGACGTCAGAGCCTCACCCCACACCTGCCTCTTGGAGCCTCTCTGTCTCTGAGGTTCTGGCACCAGCTGTGACATCCCTGACTCATGATGACCAGCCCGGCTGAAGCTATGCCGACCCTCCCCCTCCCAGATGCTCCTTCAGCCACTAGAGCAGCGACCTCCCCCACGAGAAGAGGCAAAGGACCCCGAGTCTGCCAGCTGCCCCCCGACCCCGGCTGGGGCTGACCCAGGTATTCCCAACTCCAGATCCTGATAAATTGTGGGAACTGAGAAAAGGAGACTCGGCTTCGGCTGCCGAGCCAGAGCCAGAGAGAGTCTCGGAGAAGGACCCACCCTGGCCCTGCCTTTCCACATCCACCCTCACACCCAGATCAGAGAGGAATCGCCAACGGTGGTCCTGTGAGGAAAGCACTCGCTGTGCCGGCGAAGCCTTCTGATTCCTTATTCAGAGAAATTCTCCATTCCCCCCCCCCCCCCAAATCGCATCTGAAAGCCCCAGACCTAAGGCAACCTCACGACCTAAAGGGGCTCAGAAAACACAAATGATTTTCTTGGGAGACTCCTTTGAGCCTCAGAAAGCAAGCGATGCCATCAAACTGATTCTTTCCCACCGAAATATCCCTTCCTTTTAGCATCTGTGGGCTTCCTGCTACCCACGGAGCACTCTTGTTTTCCTAACCAACGTGTCCCGGACAAGGGAGATCAAAAGACGGGCACGTGTCTGGGGCGAATGACATTCTTTCACATTATTTCCAGTTGAATTTGCTTAAACCTCTCCGATTTCATTACCTGTCATTATTTGGAACCTTCACTTTGAGTTACGGCTGGGGAGGAAATAAGAAGACACTCTGGTGAAGAATGGGGGGTAGCGGAGGGTGGAAACAGACAGACGGGCCTGGGGTGACTGGCGGATCAGGGGAGCAGGTCGGAGGCGTCGGTTTTGATAATGTTGACACCCCCATCCGGGTTGGAGGCAAGGAGGCCCCCCTCCCCGGGCACCACTGGGTGGGGATGATCTTTCCAAAGGAAACCCGATGTTTGGATTAAAATGGGTTTAGGGGGGCTGGGGCTGTGGCTTCGTGGTAGAGCACTTGCCTTGCACACGTGAGGCACTGGGTTCGAATCTCAGCACCGCATAAAAATAAACAAATTTAAAAATTTTTTTAAAAATGGGTTTAGGAAGGGATGTTGCACCAGCTTCTTTCATCTCTTGCCTGGGGATCCCCCTAAGAAGCCCCTGCATCTTGCAAGTTCCCAGCGCACCTGAGCGTGGCGGATGAGACCCAGGGGTCTTTTGAAGAGGGTGGTGCAAAATGGAAATCGGCCCCGTAAAAGCAGGCACAGACAGAGCCGCGGGCCTGGGACTCTTCTGGGCCCTGTCTGT